CAGTGAGAAGGAAAGTATGAAAGCAATCCACCAGGTCTGGGACTTGAACTGCAGTCAACCATGTGGGAGTCCAGTGCCTTTAGCCACCATGCCACCTGCTGGCCCCAAGGGGACCATTATTTATGCCTGGCTTGTGAGAAGTGTTAGTACCACTGCCAGTGCATCTGGATTGGCAGTAGAGCTGGTCTTGTGGGAGGGAGTCCTTCCTCTATGGGATGTCAGGTTGTCTCTTAGTAGATGGGGTCAGAGTTGAGTTAAATTTTGAGACAGCGAGGAGTCCTCTGAAGTGTCGTTCAGATGGGAAATATCTTACCCACACGTAGGTTACCGGAGGTAAAGTATTGTGTGTAGATGTGAAAGCGGAACAGAACTATGTTTCCCCCGTCTCAAACACCAGAGATCACAAAGTGGTCCCACACCCGTCCCAAAGCTTGTGTTCTCTATTTGGTGTTGCCTGGGAATGGTCTGTACCTGATCTTGACTGTTGATGACTTTTGGTTTGTGTCACTTATGATCCCCACTCACAGTGTCAGGTGGATGTGCCCCCCCACCCCCCATCCTCTGCTGAGTCATCACTTTTTACTTAAGGGAAGTGTTTTTGGTTGGTGTGCTCAGATGTTGGTATCGTCCTTTACAAGCCAGACACACACACACACACACAAAGACAAAGCTTGTTTCTTTTCCACTCTTCCATGTCTAAGGAAAACACACATTCTGCATTAACTTCACTTCCTTGTATGCTTACTACCTAGCTTATATCCTCCTTTTAAGAGCACAGTACATAGAAGACCTGTTTTACCCTGTCTTCAAGTCTTACCCTTTATTCTTGCTTGAGCCCATTTAGTTGGGCTCTCATGTCCACCATTCCATGGATACTTTCTCTTCAGTGTCAGTGACTTCCCCATTTTTTTTAAGAATTATTTCCTTTATTTATCATTATCATTATTATTTTTTTAATTAATTTATTCGTTCTCTTATTTTAATTTGACCAGACACACACACACACACACACACGCACGCACGCACACACACACAGACAGAAGAAGTGAGAAAGCAAGCCACCAGGTCCAGGACTTGAACTATAGTCAGCCATGTGGGAGTGTCCAGCACCTTAACCACCACACCACCTGCTGTTCCCTATCATTATTATTGTTTTTAATTTGACAGAGTGAGACACAGAGAAAGCAAAGAAGCAATCTGCCAGGTCTGGGACTCTAACCATGGTCAGCCATGTGGGAATCCCATGCCACCTGCCTGCCCTGACTTACCCATTTTAAAGCCAGTATTTAATCCTGTCTTCATCTTTTTTTTTCTCTAAATGGTTTGTTGGCTAGATGGTCACTATTTCTTTTTTGTGTTTCAGGACATTCCTCTAACCGTGGAAAATTCCTGTCTTCATTTCCTGTCACCTGTTGATTTCTCACCAGCTCCCTCTGCTTAATCTCCTGAGCCCTGTTAATGTGGTATGGCTCACGGTTTCATCTTGAAACTTCTCGACATTAGCAACACCCACTACATTCCTTACCATCTCATCTCATGGCTTTGAGTCCCACCTCCAAGTCTCCTTTTCCCAGACACCTCTTCCCTGAGCTCTCAGATCTTGTATCTAATTTTCTTCTCAACTCTGCTAGGACGTCTACTGGCATCTCCATGTCAACATGAACCAGGGTGCCTTCCTAAGCTCTCCTGATGTGTTCCCCAGCCATCCTGCTCATCCCAGGGTAGAACACCTTGTGCTTTCAGGGCTTAACTGATCCTATCCACTTAAATTTCAATTGCCCACTGTGCTGCATTACTTATAAGTGTTTTTATTTTTATTTATTAAATTTTTTAGAGATATTTTTGGTATAGAGTGCATATACACCCCGGAGAGACAGAGACAGAAAGGAAGAAATCATCTGGGATCAACAGCTGGTGTAATGGCTATGTCGCTGGATTCCCATGTAGTTGACCGTGGTTCAAGTCCTGATCCTGGTGACTTAAATTCATGTTGGGTGTGTGTGCGTGTGTGCCCAGGATCCTGAGAGGGGAATGGAGGAGAAGGGATTGTGGTGTGGCCATCCCTCCTGGGGAGTGATTTCTCTCTTTCTGTCTCTCTTTCTGGCAGGTGCATGTGCGCTATAGCAGACACCTCTGGGCAGGGGGGTGCGGGGTGGGGGAGGGAGGGAGAAATCATCCCCCTGGGTGGATAGCCATGCTGAAATCCCTTCTCTGTTCTTGGGATTTGGGGCATATATGCACATGTGCCTGGGGTGAGAGTTTTTGTTGTTGTTTTTGGAGAGGTTTTTTTGGAGAGTTTTTTTTTTTTTTTTTTTTTTTTTTGCTATAGGGCGCATGCACTCGCAGGAAAGACAGAGACAGAGAGACAGAAAGTGAGAAACCACCCCCCAAGGGAATGACCATACAGCAGTCCCTTCTCCATTCTCCTCTCGGGATCTTGGGCACACACATACACACGCCTGGTGTTTAAACCACCGGGTCTGGGACTTGAACCATGGTCAACTACATGGGAGTCCAGCAACATAGCCATTATGCTAACTGCTGGTCCCAGTTTTTAATTTTTTTTTAAGAGAGATTTTTGCTATGGGGCACATACACTCACTGGAGAAACAGAGAGACAAAGAGAGAGAGCAAGAAATCATCCTCTCCCCTCCCCCAGGGAGATGGCCACTCCATAATCCCTTCTCCATTCTTTTGGGAGTTTGGGCGTGCATGTGTATGCGCCTGACTCGAGTTTTTTAAGCTGCTGGGTCCAGGACTCGAACTGCAGTCAACCACGTGGTAGCCCAGTGACATAACCATTATGCCATCTGCTATTCTCCCCATTGTGAATTTTAAGTTGCCATATCCAGGACTTGAACCATGGTCGACTACGTTGGAGTCCAGTGACGTAACCATTACTCTATCTGCTAGTCCCAACTTGTGTTTTATTTTTTTTCTTTTTCTTTTTTTTGGAGAGGTTTTTGCTATCGGGCACGTGCCCTTGCCAGACAGACAGAGAGAGACAGAGAGACAGAAAGTGAGAAATCACTCCCCTGGGGGGATGGTCACACTGCAGTTCCTTCTCCTCCATTCTCCTCTTGGGATCTTGGGCACGCATGCACACACGCCCAGCATGAGTTTAAGCCACCGGGTCCAGGACTCGAACTGCAGTTGACTATGTGGGAGTCCAGCGACATAGCCATTACGCTAACTGCTGGTCCCCCAACTTGTGTTTTAATGTTTACTGAAAATGTCTAAAAAATAGTTACAAAAATTTTTTGGATGTGTGGGAGGAAGATGGTAGAGGACCTTGGCCCTCGCTGATCTGCTTCCCCACTGCCTGTGTGGCCCACTCTCCTAGTGGTGTCCTCCATGGTCATTCTGGTCCAGCCACACAGGCCTCTGTCCTTTTCTTGGATGGTTTATACAATTGAAATAATCATTGATCAGCTATGATTTCAGGCTCACACCATTTATTTTTTATACCAGGGGATTCATTTCCCTTTGTTTCACACTCTAAACTTAAAGTGAGGGAGTTTAATAGAGTAAGTCTTACAAGGGAGCCAGCAAGTAGCAGGTAGTTAAGGTACTGTTACTACCACGTGGTCAAGGATGGTTTGAGTTCTGGATCGGGTGACTTTTCACCTTCCCTTTCTCTACCTTCCTGTCTCTTTCTGGTGAGCACATGTACCCTATAGCAAACTTAAAATAAAAATAATGAATAAAATGAAATAAATAATTAAAAATTCAAATAGAGTATCACATGGAACACACCACATGGACGAGGCACATAAAACCCATGGTGACTGCGTTCCAAGGTTATGGAAGTAGATTTGCTCAGTCAGGATGGATGGAGGCCTGTGTGGATAGTACAGTCTTACTGAAATTTGGGGAGCCCTTACATGAATGATTTGTTTAGAGAAGCAGTGTCCCGCCGTTTGGGTGGACCTGCCCGAGCTAGAGGGCAGGCCCCTGTTGGCAAGAAGCTGTAGAGGTCACCTTATTGGCTGACAGGATGTGGCCTTTGGAGCAGCAGTTTCCACTGCAGCCCTGTCACATGATCTGAGTCTTCCTAGAGGTGTAGACTGTGCAGCCTGCCTCAGCTTGAGCTCTCACAGTGTCTGTTCAGCTCCTTGGACAGTAGGGAATTTGAAGTCCTTGAAATTCTGTAGTACCTGTAAGTGCATGGAATCTGTTGAGATCTATGCAACATGGGGCCACAGTTGCTCCTGCCTCAGGGCCTTCACCCAGGCTATATCCCTAGTATGGCCCTCAGCTGTAGACTCCAAATCTCCATCTTCTCCAGGGCTTTGTTCTGATCCCACCTTCTCATTGGAGACTTTCCCCCCACCCATGTAACCTAGCTCTACTTTGACCGCGTCTCTGCTCCACTTCCTCTGCCCTGCAAGGTCCTGTCTGCTCTTTTCCCTCCTATTGTCTGGACACTGCTGATAACAGGCCCTAAGGAGAAAGCAATAGCAGAAGGTGGAGTATGCAGGGCGGCCCCTCTGAATGCTGCTCTTCTCTGGCTCAGGGTAGATGATGAGGCCTTTGCAGATGTGCCTCCTGTGCTCCTTGCATGAGATCTCTCTTCACATGATCAGGTGGGCTTCAAGGTTCATTCTTCTCTGCATCTGGCATTGATACCAGCCGTGCATCCTCTATCCTAGCAAGCCCAGGTCAGCCTATGAGGCACGATGGGGTGCAGGGGGCTGGGTTTTGCATTGGGTTGTCAGAGCCAGTCTGCTCTAAACGGAGCTCAGTACAGCCCAGCTCCCCACTGCTGCAGTATGTGTGGAGCCTCCAGGAGGGAGTAAACTCTGAGGAGAGGCAGCAGAAGATGCCCTTGCTGGTCTTGGTGTAGGAGGTGGTTGTCCTTGGATCACCCTGGTGTGTGGGCAGCAGAGGACCATGTGACCCCTTGTGGAGATTTTCCCTTTGTGTTTGGTGGTGGCATAGGAGAGGATGCATTGAATCTGAGCATTAACAGCAGCACATTTTCATCACTCAGGACTGACTGCTAATTACAGTACCTGTACCTGAAAAGCCCAGGAAGAGGAGCAGGAGGACAGCACAAGAGTCAGAGATGGCACTCCCTCAGGTAAAGGGATATTCTTGGTGGATCATCCTGTCTCCTTCCTTCCTAAAATATGGCCATTGAAGTTGCTCACCTTCTCTGACTCTGAAGGACCCTGCTGCCAGGTTTGCCGGCACTTACCCACACCTTTCTTAGTCCCTCTCATCTCCTCTTAATTTCCACCTCACTCTGATCTGGTGATAACCTTGTGAAGAGGCTTCATGGGGTGCTGTTCGAATAAGGGCTTCACTCCTGAGCATGGATTAGAGTTGGGCGTGGGCCCACATAGTTCATGCTGTTGGCATGGGGAGTGGGTGGGCCCATCTGGAAGCACTGCCAGCTCTCTATAGGGCAGGGCTGGAGAAGCTGCCTCTGGAAGACAGAGAGGAATGTGCAAGGATAATGGGAAATTCAGGGAAAGGAAACCCAGAGGGCATGTCTGTTGTGCCTCACATTGCTGCACATTGAAGGGTAAGGAGTATGGCAGCCTTCAACTGAATGGAAAGTGCTCAGAATCAACAGTGGTCTGAGTGCAGGGCAGAGAGGCCTGGAGAGGGGAGCTTCTGATTTTCCTCCTGTGTCCTGTGTTCTTTTTTTTTGGAGAGGTTTTTCGCTATAGGGTACGTGCGCTCGCCAGAAAGACAGAGACATAGAGACAGGAAGCGAGAAATCACCCCCCAGGGGGGATGGCCATACTACAATCCCTCCTCCTCCTTTCTCCTCTCAGGATCTTGGGCACGCATGCACACGCGCCTGGCGTGAGTTTAAGCCACTGGGTCTGGTACTCGAACCACGGTCCACTATGTGGGAGTCCAGTGACATAGCCATTATGCTAACTGCTGGTCCCCCTCCTGTGTTCTCATGGAGCCATGTCTGCGCTACGTGGGGGTACTGGAGCCTTGTAAGGTGTTCCTGGATTCTTCATAGAGGCAGTTGCTCTGTAGATTGTTCAGTCTGTGTTTGTCTAGGACATAAGGTCTGGGGCCTCCTGTCCTCTCACTGGCATTTGCTCCTTCAGTGCTGTCTGCAGTTGTTTGCACAGGTCTGGAAATGTCTATCAGTAGCTACCAGGGGTACATGCTATGGAAGTGTATTATGTTGAGTGTGTGCGTATGTGTGTGTGTTTGCATAATTTGCCTAATGACTGCTGCTAAAGAAGGATTATTTTGAATATGATTTTATTCTTTATTCAAATGTTCTTTTAAAATTCTTTTTTTTTTCTTTTTTTTGGAGCGGTTTTTATTGGGCGCGGCGCGTGCGCTCACCAGAAAGATAGAAAGAGACAGAGAGATAGAAAGCGAGAAATCACCCTCCCCTCCACCCCCAGAGAGGATGGCCACACTACAATCCCTTCTCCTCCATTCTCCTCTCAGGATCTTGGGCACACATGCACACACGCCCAGCGTGAGTTTAAGCCACCGGGTCCTGGACTCGAACCGCGGTCGGCTACATGGGAGTCCAGTGACATAGCCATTACGCTAACTGCTGGTCCCCCCCCTTTACTTGTTCTGACATTTTAGGTCATTGCCCTCAGGAGAGTTTTTTTAACTATCTATGACACAGTCGTCTCCTCAGTGAAGATGGGGTATTAGGTTGTTATATGTGTTAAGACATTAAAGCATTGGGCCAGCAGGTGGCATGGTAGTTGTGGTTCTGGACTCCCACATTGCCAACCACAGTTCAAGTCCTCGACTGCTGAGCGCATGTGCATGTTTGCCTAAAATCCTAAGAGGATAATGGGAGGAGAAGGGATTGCAGTGTGGCCATCCCTCCAGGGGGTGATTTTTCACTTTCTTTCTTTATCTCTCTCTGTGTCTCTGGAGAATACACACCCATTACCAAAAATCTCTTAAATAAAAAATGACATGAAAGCATTTAGAACAATGCCCAGCACAGACGTGTTTGATGCTTTGCTGATTACTATTGCTGTTACCATCAAATTGCAATTTTTACATTATGATTTTTGTCTAAGGCCATTGAGGATATTGTGATTATCAGAGACCCCACCAAACTTTCTTATTTTGTTACTAAATATCACTTGCCATGTGGAACATATCTCATACTTCTGTAGAGGTTACTTGGTGTTGATGTATTGTTTCTTGTATTCACAAAAATGAGAAACCCATACTGACTGTGGGTATTATAGACTCTTATGGAAAACTGTAATGAAACCCGTTTATGGAGACATAAGTTGCTCAATTATACCTCAACCTAGATCTGTTATATCACCCAGTTTAACAGTACTGATCCTTACATGCTCTCCTTTTTAAATTTTTTTGTGAAGATAGACTCTCTTACTTCCTGGTGAAATCTGTTTTTCATTTTAGGCACAGTTGTCATTTAGGGACGTGGCCATAGAATTCTCTAAGAAGGAGTGGAAATACCTGGATCCTGCTCAGAGGGCTTTGTACAGGGAGGTGATGTTGGAGAACTACAGGAACCTGGCCTCTGTGGGTGAGAATGAGTTTTCTCCAGAAGTTGGGATCTACCCTCGTGTGTCTGTTTTTGTACCTTGTACTTCTTTTGGGTCCCTGCACTACTTGAAAAGACTGAAGCCGTGATGATTCACGATTGGAAAGCTTTCTTCTCTTCAGATATTCTGCCTGCTTCCTGGTATATCTATCTTTGGTGATTCCAGACCTTAAGTATACAGAAAACCTCATGGCAGACTTCTAGAATGTCCAATTTCTTGTTTTATACCCCTGAACTTTGATTCAGAGGTATGTATAAGAGAACTAGAAGACCAGCCTGTGGTATGGCATGGTGGTTAAGGCAGATGGATCCCACATGAATCCCAGACCCTGTGACTTGAAAATCATGCTGGGTGCCTATGTGTACATATCCAGTATCCCAGGAGGAGAATGGAGAAGGGCTTGTGGTATGTCAGTCCCTCTGGAGGGTGATTTCTCTTCTCTCTTACCCACCCTCTGTCTTCCTTGAGAGCACACATGCCCTATAGCAACAAGAAAACAAACAAAAAAGAGAACTTGATATTTGCATATCATACAGCTCCCTCAGCATTCAGAAGGAAACATTCATTGGATGCATTTGTAAAATATTTGACTGTAATGTTGTCTTGTCACATAAACATAGGGTTTAGATTCTGGAAAAGCCCAACTGTCGTGTTCCTTTTCTCTTATAAGCCCAACACTCTACTGACCTGACTATAATCTCCATGTTGGAGCAA